TAATAGGAGTAATTATACTCCTACGTGTTAGATTCCTGGTCTTTGTCTTGTAGCCGTAGAACAGCTGCTGTCTATTTGGGAAAGTTAGGTTAACATATCATACTATAATCATACTATCCACACATTTGCCCCTGGGGACATTTGGGCCCTAAGGTCTTTTAGAGTTGGCCACACTGTTGGGGTAACGTTGGCAGAGGCCAATTATCCTATATGTGTTTTTTGTTGTTTTGCATTAACTCATACAAGCATGGGTAGAAGGTACTAATTCATGGCAATAATAATGAGGATGCCAACACTGCGAGGAAGCCATACTACCTAGTAAAAAAGCACTCGCGTAACAATATATGACATATATGTTGTTTAGCATTATGTCTATTAGCGCTCCTGTCTTGGATTTTCTCCCCGTGTTTGTTGTGGATTTCCTCAAGGTGCTCCCTTCTAGAATCCCAAAACCTTAACTGTTTTCTACCCAAGTGTTTGCATGAGGTAGGCACTAAAAAATTTCAATGCACCCTCTGCACTCAGCTAGCAGCCCTTTTTGCATATAAACAGGGATTCTTAGTTTGCAATACAAATTCAATGCAAAAAGATTAAAATGAATGTTTATTTCAGGTAAGAGGTTTCCTCCATATGTAGGGTTAATGTGATTCAGATAAAGTGTGATTCTATAGTTTCTTGGGTAACCTGCAAGAAAATAAACAGCAGGGATAAAATCACTACCGAGCGGCTGCGTTTTCCACCGCATTTAAGTGTTTGAAAATAAATGGTGTTTAAATAACTCCTAACAAGCTGCAGTGCCTGTTCCGCTGGGACGTTTATGGGGCTTTAACTCAGGAAAGTGACAAGTGTGCCGAGCTCCTAAATCAAAGGTTCCTCGCTTTATCCTCACATGTCCCTGAGAGACGGCTTTTTAAAAGTAAACTTAATGGGAAGCCGGGTTTTGTGTTGGCTTTTTATCAGCTTATTACTGGATCTTTGTTCTGAGCTGATGCTGCATTCGGAGTGAAGGGGGCAAATACAAACAAGGCAAACCATATAACGGCTTCAATGTAGGCCAATAGCATGGGGCATCATACCTGGGAACCTTGAATCTAATGTAATTTTACATCTCAGGGTCATTGGACTGGTGACTAAAACCTCAGAGACATTCCCCTACTACCGCTGTGTTGAGAGACAATTTTTTCTATTGAAAATCTCTGTTAGGGCAAAATAAAGACAATATACTCATCCTCAGTGGTGTTTGGCTGCTAAACCTGTCCCTGTAGCCTCTTCTGTCCTAGGCTCTGGCTCTGCAGCTTCAATACACATATGGATGCCGGGGGAAATGTCACCACCAGAGAGGAGGGGGAGAGAGGTGAGCACTCACCACCGCAGGACCGAAGATCGGGTATTGATTGTTTTATTTGCACCCCGTACCAAAATGAGCAGTTAACCTTGCAATGTGGGGGGGGGGGGGGAGATGTCCAACAAGCTCATATAAAACTGTAGGTGTGATGGTGAGTTGTCCACAAACATGGTTATGTAGTCTATCATAAACTGGTATAGAACATTTTTTTTATATGCAATGTGCTGTAACCTATAGCGGCCAATTATATCTCGGCTTTCTACAGAGAACATACAGTAACACAATCGGTTTTCTGAGTGCTTCCTCATGATATGTGTTAGAATAATTAACAAGGCTCATAATGTTCTAAATAAAGACGCCTTTGTCTCTGTAGTCTGGACTGTGAATTAGTGGAAGTTGGTGATTTTTTATTTTGCATGTACTCCCTCATATTGATTCATTTTGTGCGAGCAGGCGTGGGCACATTTGTTAAGGAGTTTTCCTCTTCCAGCAATTTAAGGGCTTGTGAAATAAACACTCACTACAATTCAAAGGGAACTGAATGAACAACTTAATATTTCCTGTTAATGTTTTTAGCTCTTCACATCTGATAGTGTGCCGGTCTTATAGACTTTATCAGAATGTTCCGTGTTGCAGCTGCAGGGGAGAAAAGGAAGCATTGGAAAAAAGAGTGAGATTAATTCTCATAACCGCACTGCTTCGGGGATTGTGATGTTTTTATTATTTCACTGCAAAGGAGTAAATTGTCACATTTTCTGGATATTTTTGTTATTGAGCTACCGTCCAGTTTCTCATCCATTTCATGCCAGTGTTGGCTTATTAAAGGATATCTCAACCCAAGAGCAAAAATGTAATATATTTCACCTTTACAGGCCTTGCGTGTGGTGGCTGCATTATGTGCTGCAAGGGTTACGTGCTTGTTTTGTCTAGTGAGCTAAAATAACAAAAGACCTACTCACACGAACCGAGTCATCATGTCCAATACAGGGTATTGGACATGGGGATGCCAAAGGACATTCCATTGACAAATTAAGCATTACCGTATTTTTTGCTCCATAAGACGCACTCCCCCCCCCCAAAGGCGGGCAAAAATGTCTATGCGTCTTAAGGAGCAAATGTGTACCCAGGGGTGTGGAATCCCTATCGCCCGACGCCTGGGACATGCAGTTTCGGGCGCCGGGCGATTATTTGTTTTGTACATTTAGCCCTGCTCCGGACAAGCAGAGCTAGACGTATAGTGTGGAGCCACTGCTCATTTTCATACAAGTGATCTGATTAGATCACTTGTATGAATGGAGCAGAGGCGATACCGTCCAAACCCCCCCACCACCCCCCTCCCCCGCAGTTTCACAGTAATCACAGCGCCACCTGTCTCAGCTGTCAGGAACTACACAGAACCCTACCCCGCGTGGTCAGGTGCGTGTTATGGAGCGCAAAATACGGTAATTGCAAGGGTTGCAACAGCAAGGGCTAATTTTATTTCTGCCGGGAGTTCTTTAACCAGTTGACATCCGCGGTGTTAAACCCCCTTCCCATCCAGGCCATTTTTCAGTAAATGATAGTTTGTGTCCTTCCGTTACACTAAGGAGAACTATGGAGAAAAGCCTTAACCCCATAGTTCTCCTTTAAAGAATTTCCCTTAAGATAAATCATTATTGTTACAATGTTGGTTAATGAAGATATGCAACTGAGTTGCTGACATTGTTAAAAATGGTACCTGTTCCTCTAATCTACGGAGCCTTGGCTTCCTTGGATATGGAGCCATGTGTCTAATGCAGTCCCAAGGGCCATGAGGTCTCTTCTCTGCATTCATACCTAAGCATAAATGTAGTCGGGCCATGTCGTGACATTTTGTTGTGTTTGTACATGTATTTCTCAGGTGTTTTATGCACTAAAAGAGTGTTTTTATGGAGAATCAATAGTTTTCGGCCCCATAGACTTTTAAATGTGAACATCTAAAAAAACGTGTGTAAATGCACATTTTTTAAGCATTTTCCAGGTGCTCCCATTAACGACTCTCTATGGCATGCTCAATTCTGCCTGAAAAGAAGCTTGTGTACTTTTCATGCTATAGGTGTTTTGCTACAAGCAACAGGATGCTAAAATGTGAACAGGGACTATTGAAAACAATGGGCTTCCCCCTGCTGAATGTTGTAGTGCTTAGGCATTCAAGCTACAAAATGTTCAGGTGTGAATTGGGCCTTAGTGAGACCTACTGACTCTTTGGCTTGACCTCAGTGTTGCTTTGGCAGTGCTCACATGATCATTGCCTAGGTGTAGGTCATGTGATCCCAGCTTCAAAGGGAGCTACCAAACACGATGATTAGAGGAGAACATTTTACACCTAGATCCCTAAAAAAATATCTTTGTGTTGCTTGTCCAATAGTTTTTTATGTTTAAGTCATCCCTGACATGTTCAGATTATTAATGTGCTCCTTCTGTTTCCCTTTCAGTTGTTTTTATTTCAGCTGCTGCGAGGACTCTCCTACATTCACCAAGGCCACATTTTGCACAGAGACCTGAAACCACAGAACCTGCTGATCAGCGATACAGGGGAGCTGAAGCTGGCCGACTTTGGTATAAAGATGTTTCACTTTAATTATTTTCTTTTGTATATTGTGGAGGAGGCCAGAGGGCTCTATTGATTTTGGCTTCTTTAGATAATCTCATCTTTTGTTATTATTGTTTTTTTTTCTTTAACGGCTATCTCGAAATGAGAAAAAGATGTTTATGAGAAACATAGCCTCAAATAATGTGCCTTTCCGCCAGGATCTTATTATTTTTATTTCTTTAAGGGCAACTCTAGCCAACACCTAAATCCACATTTAAACACATTTATGTGGGGCTGCATCTCTGATGTCCTTTTCATGCTGAGTTCACTGGGAGTATAATGGGGCAAACATATCAAGCCACCTCTGGCAATAAACATACATTTTATTTGATGGCAGAGGGAGATGTCCCCTGAATATAGAATGATTTTTCCATTAGTTGCCATTCTCACGGCACCAGTTTTTGTATGACTTGCAGAATGTCACAAACCATTGGTATGGACCCTTTCCTTGGTACAACTGCTTTCTCTGAGAGTCTAAGGGATAGCTTATGTTCCACCCGGGACCCCCCTCACGGGAGTTGGGATTTAGCTGTAAGCTACCCCTAGATCACTCAACAGCTACTCATGGACAATTAGGAGGGTAGGTGTCTGGAGAGCAGTAAAGGTGACTGCATAGAAACTGTAGCATGTAATACAGATATAAAGGTGCCCATACACTGCTCGATTCTCGTACGAGAATCGCGGGAAATCCCGCGATCGTACGAGAATCGAGCAGTGTGAACGAAGACGTGCGACCGTTTCTACTGTACGGTCGCACGTCTTTTGTCTAAGGAGCACGCTAGAAAACCAACCGAAAATCGTACGATTTTCGGCTGGTTAGAACGGTGCTCGGGAGACAAATGCCGAACGGGCCGGTGTGCGCACGCGCGCGCACACTGCCTGTTCAGCATTGCGGTCATAGGAAGCCCGCCCCTCAGGGGGGCGGGCTTGCAATGATCGAGAGTACGATCTGCCTGTCTAAGATGGGCAGATCGTACGTTTTTTTTAAGTACTTTACAACCATCGCAAGACTAAGGTCTTGCGATGGTTGTGAAGTGTATGGCCACCTTTACTCATAGCACTGATGACACAGGTATCACAGATGGTACAAGAGAGTCCTGGTGAGACTTGGTGGCACTGGTAGCAGAACAATACTGGTAGCTTGGTGCACGGGTTGCAAGGTTTCACAGGTAACAAGGTGCTCAATTAGCAGGATGTATGGGTGGCAAGCTGTACTTGTAACAAGGTACTCAGGAAGCAGGTTGCACTGGTTATAAGGCGGGAGTTCAGATTGCATAGGTTCAGTAGGATAGTGACATGATGCTAGAGCCTTGACAGTGTTTTCCCAAGCTCAGTTTGAGAATTTGTTTTTTTACTGAAATTACTCTGTACAAAACAAATGTGAACATGTGCTTGTTTAATGCATCGGAAGCCCCCCACTTAAACATGCCCCACCAAAGATGACCACCAAACATTTTTTAGAAGCAACATGGGTTAGCCATGGGGATGACATCAGTGGATGTTCCCAGCTTTCTCCCCTAGGTAGGAGCACATGGCACCTACCTCACTGGGGCAAAAAAATAATAAAAAAATATTATATATGTATATATTGCAATGAATGCCATAGCTTCCAAGGCAGCTAGAGATTGTATTGTGACGCAGAACTTAACAGCTAGGAATTGGATCAGGGCGTGTGCACAAAACATTTGCTGGAAGGGTCAAAGAGGTTTTTTTTTTTACAATGTTTCTCCTGCCAATAAAGGTTCCTAACATTTTTATTTCATTTTTGTTCAACTTTAATACCTCCCTGGAGAATTATATACTTCTCCTGATTGTACATGCAAAATACAGAAACGCTATTAATGGGCTCAGGTCCGAACACCTTATGAACAATGTTGTTGGCACAGGTACATCCATTTATAACCCACATTCAAGAAGCTCTTATGAAAGCCACTGATGTTGGAAAGCTCTGGTTATATCACATGCATTTTTCTATTATGTATTTTTTCAGTTCACAGAGGAGTGTTGGAGGCAAAATATCAATTTATTGATCCCGCCCTACAAAGTATGATGTGAGTGAGCTCAGGGATGGCCGAGCAATAGATTGATACTTACATAGTCATTCATTTCCATGTATGCATAACAGATCAGCCTTATCGATTGGATGAGAAAATCCCTCGAAGGATCACATCGGTCTTGTACAGTTTGCTTTGTATTGTTGCTGGTTCCCGGAGGATAGTCAGCGGTCACAATAGGTCATGTGTAAAGGTTCCCTCTAACAGAGAAATGAGTCTTAAGTATGTGGCTGTTCCACTAGATTTTTTTCTATGGCTTGACAAAGGGGTATTGATCTATGAAGTGTCAGGTTATACGTTGCTCTTATCGGCAGCATGATGGCTTGGTGGTTAGTACTGTTGTCTTGGTTTTAATTCCCACAAGGACCACTATCTGCATAGAGCAGAGGTTCTTAAAATGTATGTAAACCTCTGATTGATAAATGGAAAAAATAGCTGCCGGAAATTCAGTGAGTTTAAAGTATAATTAAAGTCTTGTTTTTTTTTTTTCTTTTGCATATATCTATATGCAAAAACATTCAAAAAAATAAAAAAGTTACCAAAAAAGTAATTACTTACCTCCGTCTCCGCTGCTTGCTCCTGTCTGAAGATCTGAAGATTCTGGAGTGGTTGTGAAGGATCATGGGTGATGGGGCGAGCGCTTGCGCAGTAGAGATCTTCGGCCAAAAGAGGAGAGACACAGGGTAAGTCAATGTAAGTAGCCGTGTGCGTGCATGTTGGACAGACACCGTGGGACAGGAAGAGACAGCAGTCTGCGCTGGATCTGAGACCGGCACCAGCGCTGGGGGGACTCCTGAAAACAGGTGGAAGGAGAGAGATCATCTGACCAAGAGGCATCATTTAAGGTAAGTCCATAAAGCAGCATGGGGGGAGGGTGGGGAGGGGGGGGGATTGTGACCTTAATGTCACTTTAAGACTTTCTGTTGGCTTTGTCAATACTACACTCAAATCCAATTATCCGTTCTGCCCATTGCTCCTTTGTAAACTAATTGAACACCTCCCCTCCTGTTATGGAGAAGAGGAGAGCGAGAGTTGTTCTTTAGTTCTAACACACATTCTGTCCTAGGGTTAAAATGCTGTTGCTCCTAGATTCAGTATAGTGAGTGTTGTCCCCCTAGGACAGGAAGTGTGTTACTGACAGGAGCACTAGATGAAAATAAAGGAATAAAGGCCTGGAGAAAAGAAAACAAATGCAGCCATCGGATCTAAGAACTGGTAAATTGCTACTTATTACATTGTATTTGTAGCAAGCAGGAGGCATGTTTTTACTCAAAATAATAATGAGATTTGGTAACTCTGACATGCCTTCCACTTTTCAGTTTACAGCTGACAAACTATGATTCTGTTTTAAATGGAATCTATGGAGTTTTGCATCTATTTTCTACGAGGGTGAGTCACAAATTATACGCACTCTGGTTATATTAAAACCTCTGTTGGCTGCACTGTCTTATCAGCGTTTTCCGTTCAAGGCTACCGTCTCCCCAGTCACTGCTGTGCAGGTGTGAACGCGTTACGTCAGTTCATTTGTAACTACGGTGCGAGAAAAAATGGATGCCTCACTTGTGATTTGCAGGAAAGAAGAGCAGCGTGCAGTGATACGTTTTTTGTGGTCTGAGAGTGTGCCTGGTGCCGTTATTTATTGAATACTTTGTGCGCTGTATGGAGAAAGTTTTTTGTCGTGAAGAAGCGTGTATGAATGGGTAGAGAAGTTCAAGGAAGGTCGTGCAAGTGTTGGCCATCAAGAAGGAGGCGGACGCCCGTCCACGTCCATAGCTGATGACAACATTGATGATAGACACTGGATTGTGGGGCTTTGGTCCTCTAAACGCAGCCCTATGAGGAGGAAGATTCACCGCTAATGAAGAAGTGAAGACAGAGGTGCATTCGTGGCTCGCAGCTCAGCCTAAAACATTTTTTAATGAGGGAATACGAAAGCTTGTTGACAGATGGACGAAGTGTATTGAAAAGCCAGTAGATTATGTTGAAGAATGATGTATTTGTCTTTTCTAAAAGTTGAAAATAAATTTTACAGCCATAGTGTGAATAGTTTTTGACTCACCCTCATATTTTCATTATGTTCAGCAGCAAAATAACTAAATATTTATTAATATATTTTTAATCAGGTTTTTAATGATTGCATATAGTATGCAGTATTTTTTATTTGTATTTCCAGCCAACAGGTGGAGCTAAAGGCTCATTTTCATACGTTTACCTGTCTATTAGACATGTAAGCTGCGGAAAAATTTAGTTTGGTTCAGATATTTCATTATTTCGGGATTCAGATATATACACACCTGATTGGCCAGAAAAGTCACATGTCCGATTCAGTTTAGTTTTTGAAATTTGGAAACGGCAATTCAAATTTGGACACATACGGATGCATTGGGATTTGGAAATTTGGATGTGTCCGAAGTTTGGAAAATTCATCTGACTTTTGATTTCGGAAGGAAACGAATCGCACATGTCTATTTTTAGCTGCTCTACTGAAAACAAAATGCTGTTCACAGAGCTTAAAACTGAAGCAAAAACTTAGACAGATACAGTAAGTGAATAACTCAGAGATGGGACTCCTTCCCTCTACCCCCTCCCTCCCTGTTCTCTTCACAAAGGTCATTTGACATTTACATTAGAGATAGAAAGTCTGAAGGCAAGCAGCCTCTGCTCTCTTTTTAACCAATCATGCTCTGAATTATGTGTCATTGTACAACAACTATTATGTTTATTTGAAAGATAAACATTTACAGGCAGCCGAGTGAGTAACCGAGCCGAAGTGAAGTGAGCCAAACACTGTTCGGCTATTCACTTCTGGCTTGTACGGCTGATTTCAGACTACATCAGTTCTGTACGGCTGCCTTTGACCATCCGAACATGCTCAGCATGAGCCGAAGTGCAGAAGGACTTCGACTCAGCCGATCCAAAATTTGAATCAGCTGTGCCGAAAGCTCCGGCAGCTCACTCGCTGCCGTTTGCCCCCTATTCTCTATTCCCGAACTGCATTCGGCTCGGCTATTCTGCTTGGTACCTCTGTGGTGCCGAGCAGAATAGAAAATCAATGAAAAGAGTTAAAAAAAAAAAAAAAGGTTGAAAAATATTTTTAAAATACAAATAAATTGTAAAATAAAATTTTTTTACACGACCGGCTCCGCCCTATTGTATGACGGATCAGTGTCCCCAGGTCATTTGAGGATGCTGATCTGTCATTGCAACTGGGCGGAGCCAGCCGTGCGATCACAGCTGTCATTTGTGAGGCTTACGGCCCGCCATTGGATGGCCGTTGGCCCCGTTTCGGGTGTCACTTCGACTCAGTCGAGCAGGAGCATATGCCTTCGGCTTCTGTACGGGCCATAGTGAATAGCCCGTACAGCAGCCCTTCGGTTCAACTGAACCGAAGGGCTCCGGCGGCTGAAGGATCAGCCGAAGCTACGGTTGGATCCTTCAGCCCCTTCGTGAATACCCCTTAATATACTTTTTGTAGGAAAAAATTACAAATAAGGTGCACATTTTAATGTAAAATAAATACGTTTTATGCAAAACCCTGATAGTTACCCTTGAAGTTGTGAGGCATTACAAGATGAGATCTGCTTGCTCCCATTTATCCCATATCAGTCATCTCTGTTTATCCCGTCGTCAAGAGGATTCAACAGCTCACACTTGGCGTTGTTGCTAATGCAATATTTATAGCTAAAGTGGCCAAACTTCACAACCGCATTACAATTTCAGGAAACCAGCAGCCCCTTCTGGGAAAAAAGTTAACATCTCCATTTCTGTAACCGCCGGATACATTTGCACAAATTTAAATGTTTGCCTGTTTCTTTTTGATCCTGCCTTAGCTGACTAGGTCTGGACCAGGAAAACAAATCTCTTGGGGTTTAATCATGAGATATTTAAAATGAGTGTGGTACATTGAGGAGAAATATATTTTCTTACACTTCCTGTCCCAATGAAAAAACAACAGCTGTCATTGTGTTGCCTTTTTTGTCAATAGTGGCAATTTATATACGTTGTTTAGCTATATGTATCATTTATGTAATGAAATTAAACTTAGTGACACTAAACTTAGAAGTGAATCTTAAAACGAATTCTCAAGTACCTTAACTATTAAGAAAAATGTATCTTATTTGTGTATCACTCGGCTGTAGATCCTCCAATCATCTCTGAATTGGTGCTGACACTGTCCTTCCTTCTGGAGGGGGGCTACTTTTGTTCTCCATGGTCCCTGTGTGTGTTGTAATGTAATCACCGCTCCAAGCTCACTTCCAGGATGGTCTACGATCGCAACACAAATGAGCAAACTAAACATGAGATTGTAGTCCATCCCAGGAGTGAGCTTGGAGCGGAGACTACTTTACAAGACACAGTGACCATGAGGAACAAAAGTAGCCCCTCTCCAGAAGGAAGGACAGTGTCAGCACCAATTTAGAGATTTGAGGATCTACAGCCGAGTGATACACAAATAAATTTTTTCTTAATAGTTAAGGTACTTGAATGCAGTTGTAAGATTCAGCTCCTGAATTTAGTGTCACTTTAGCATCCATAAGTTATTAGCAGTTCATCAAATATTTTTTTTTCGTAGGGGTCTAGTTGCAATTTTATTAACCCTTGCAGTGGGGCTTCCCCCACACTGCAGGGGTTAGCTGCTCATTTTCATCTAGGTGCTAAAATAAATAAAAAAAGGTCATATACACATGATCCTCTGAGCCAGCATGCTCTTAGACTGGGTCTTCTAGTCCCACTCCCCCGCCGCTGCAGCAGTCTAAGGATCCTCAAGTTATCACGCTCTATACACAGGACTTGAGGACGCAGAGGGACATACCAACGCTGCAGTAGAGGACAGGCTGGAGGGAATGCTGGGACAGCTGACCAGCCCTGAGGTTTGGGTGAGTATAACTTTTTTTTTTGTAGCACCTAGACAAAAATGAGCAGTTAACCCTTGCAAAATAATCAAATAATATTTTTAATTAGTAGCCACACTGCTATGGTTAATACAAGTTTTGCAGAGTTCTTCTTTAAATAAAGTTACTTTAAAAAAATTGTAAACATTGTGATGCATTGTAACATAGCATCGTAGCATGCGTGCACACTTCCCACCAGTGCGTGCCAGTTATGCGCACCAAACCACATGCCACTGGTGTGAAATGAACCTTAAGATAATAATTCCCATACATCCTGTTGTGTTCACAGGATAGGAAGTTATTTTCTTGATGGGACAAAAAGAAAACTGACATGGATTTTAATCATTACCTAATTTATCCAAAATGTTTTGCTTTAGGTATACTTTAACCAACTCAATACTCGGCATGTTTCTACATTTCTAAAAAATTGTGGCAAAAATAAGATCACCTTGGGGTGTCCACTTTCCAAAACATAGTCCCTTTGGGAGGGTTTCCTATTGTCCTATTATTATTTTTTTAATTTGATATGTTTTATAACAGAAACTAATAGAAGTTTTGTTTAAAACGTTTTGGTCTATTTTGCTTTTTATAATAAAAAATAGGGTTATTATATTCCTCTAAAAGAAAGTTCTACCTATCTAAAAAAAAAATTATATAAAAATCATTTGTGTAGAGTGTTGCATGACGGGGTAATTGTCAGTCAAACTATCAGAGCACTGGAAACGGAAAGATGACCTGGAAAGAAAGGGGGTTGCTGGTATTGAGGTGGCTTAACCTAAAGAGACATTATAATATTTATATTGAACTGATCCCTAGTAAGTCTATATCTAAAGACATTAACCGCCTCCCGTCAACGACCGTTCCTGAATGGCCGGATGGGCGTCTTGTAGAAGCGGGAGGGCGTCTTAAGACATCCTGCCCCTCCCCCCGCTCCTCGTGCACGGCGCTCAGCACGCACACAATTGGGGAACTGTTAGCAATGGCTGTTTACATTCAAGCAATCGGACGTCTCTAGACGCCCGATCGATTGCAGGAGCTGCGGTTGTGCACCCCCCGTACCTCCGTCGCTGCTGCTGGTCCCGAGATCCGCTGGGACCGGCACGGCTATGCTCTCAGTGGAGATCAAAGGGAGTTCAGCACACGATCTCCCTTTTGATCTCTTCTCGGTCCCCGAATGCAGGAAGTGATGTATACAGGTGAAACTCGAATAATTAGAATATCGTGCAAAGTTCATTTATTTCACTAATGCAACTTAAAAGGTGAAACTAATATATGAGATAGACTCATTACATGCAAAGCAAGATAATTCAAGCCGTGATTTGTCATAATTGTGATGATTATGGCTTACAGCTCATGAAAACCCCAAGAACCCCAAATCCACAACCTCAAAAAAGTAGAATATTACATGCAATCAATAAAACAAGGATTGTACATAGAACAATATCGGACCTCTGAAAAGTACAAGCATGCATATGTACTCAGTACTTGGTTTGGGCCCCTTTTGCAGCACTTATTGCAATTACTTTTGCACGATATTCTAATTATTCGAGTTTCACCTGTATATTACATTACTTCCTGTATTCAGTGTCACTCTGCAGTACAGAACACCGGTGTGAAGCAGATCTCTGCTTCATCAGCTTTTTTGGGGGTCCCTAGGTGACATTAGGGGTCTCGGAGACCCCTGATGTCCTCATAAAGAGGACCTTCCTAAAGAAAGAATTGACATTTCTGGTGAAACCAACTGTGTACAGAACGCCTCAAGGTCGCCATATTGCATTTAATTTTTTTGAGATTTAGAACATAGATAATTTTGAAAAACATTTCATTTCAAAATGTCTTGTGTAGCAATTATACAGTATGTACTATATTAATTTTTAAAATCATTTTTTATTGTTATATTTTAAAGTAGAGTTACCTTTTAAGGGGCTTTTATAAATGTTTTCACACAAGTTGTATACAGCTTTCACCCAAGATTCACACATTTTCCTGTTTAGATTTAATGGGCAAAATTTGTGAATTATTGGTGAAAGTTTTGTAAATCTTGTTAGAAAACCCCTAAAAAAAAAAGGTGTTTTTAAATTGTTCTCTTTTTCTTATTATTCCGATTGCTTCAGCCACTCATGGTGGGTTCACTAATATTGATATTTATTGTAAATATTTGTTGACATGAATTCATTTTCTCCTGCAGGTCTTGCTCGAGCCAAATCAATCCCCAGCCACACCTACTCAAATGAGGTAGTAACTCTTTGGTACAGGCCTCCGGACGTGCTGTTGGGTTCCACAGAATACTCCACCTGCCTAGACATGTGGTAAGTGAGATGCCTTCGGTGCTTTGAGTTACTGATCTGGAAGTATGGAGATAAGGACTTAGAAAGTATTAAAGCCAGAGGATCAGTATGGCAGCCAGGCAACTATCAGTTCCAAAGAAAAAGAACTAGGGAGCAACCCTTATGTATTAAAATAAGGTTTTATTAGTAAGTTGCATTAAATACTCACAGTAAAGTGATTGCCTTTGATATGCTCTTGAGCAATCTGTTGATGTGTCAGCAGCATAAAGCCCAACAGTTCTTGGACAGTGCTGGGGCTGCGAGATGGAAATGTCAACCAGCAATAGCAGCAATGAGGGACTCGTTTAGAGATGACAAAGTCTGTGGTCCTCAGTTGAGTGGATGGCCTTGGGGAGAGCTCATGTTGTGGAGCAGGTCGGCAGCCTTGTAATGTTTCCAGGAAGCAATATTCTCCCCAAGGCGATCAAGGCAACCGAGGGCACTAAAATGGTCCCTGATCAAATATTAAAGCTGTGTTTCCCACCCTCTATCCATCTGCGAATCCATTGCGTACTTTGATGACATGGCCATCTTTTGGGCCAGCAAACACAGTGCTGTGCAATGCTATTGTGCATTTTATGAACTACCATTTTCAGAAGCCGGTCAGGAAAGGTAGCCCGTGTATTTCTGTCATGACAGGTTCACTTTAAACTGAAAGCTGTGCTGTGTTTTGCTTCTTGGCACATCATTGTATAGATGGATGGGCTCGCCACATATAGCCGTCTTACCTCTTGTAAGGTTGCGCACAGCACAGTGATATGGGAAGCAGCTGGGCACTTAACCACGTTGTCAGTAATTCCTGTCATGTCACATTTCTTAATGGCTCTGCGTTTTTTTCTCACTTACAAAATTTAGGGAGACCATTATATGTGTCGGCGTGATAAATGTTAGCCTGCAGACCTCCAGTGTGTCTGCTACTGAAGCTTCACAAATAAATATTAACTTCTCCAGAGGTGAGCCTCTATGACGAATGACACCATTAGTACTGCTTGTTATCCTGCTGCATTGTTACTGATGAGATAGAATGCATGAGGCCTTGTCTGTACATCAGGCCTGAAGGAACAGGGTCTTTGTTGCCATTATTTTCCCATCTGATGGGTATGGATTCAGCAGACGACTATTGTCAGGCCCATCGATTAGCCATGTAGGCACCAAGTGCTGCATTGTGGAAGGGCAGAGAGGCATATACTGTACACGATTCATACCTGAAAGTATGCATGGTGTCTGCAGTGATTGGAACTGTGGACGTAATTTTGAGCTAGCTTACTGCCACACGGTGTAGGGGGGTTTGTTTTTACTACAGGTGTACTTGAAAGTACATCTATAGGTTATTGTATGGCAGTCTTATCAAGTACCAAATCCAGTTACTATATACATGTCCTTTACCTTCCCTGACTGAGCCATATCCTCCATTTGTGTCTCACACTCCCTCTCCCAGACAATGCAGCTCACAGTGGGCGGGTCTCAGCGACAGAGGCAGCTCTGCCAATCTAGAAAGCAATGGGGAGGACCAGGTGAGGCCAAGTGCTAATTGACAAGCAACTGGTTTGTGAGCAGAGACAATGCTGATAGCTACACCCCCTTCAATATCCTCTCATCCTCCTGTAGTGCAAACAGGCACAGCCCAGGTGAGAGTGACAACTCTGCTCTGAAGTCAGGAGCAGTGCAGTATTGTCGACATCACCATCACAGAAAATTAGGTGAACTTCACTGGCAGGATCTCCAGCTGTTCATGGGACTTTGCAGGTGGACTAAGGGGAAAGTGTAAGCACAGATGTACTTATACAGGCAACTGCCCCCGCGTGTAATATTGCAGTAATTTAGTTATAGGATCTCAGCTGCGGAGGCGAGTAGGCTAACCTGGCCAAAGGGAGTAACTGTCTCCAATGTTTTGTTTCTTGAGGAAACGGTAATTCAGTGTTTAGTTCCACAATTATACGCTCCATGTAGTGCGGAGGAGGTTGTGGACCTGGTTTACATCATGCACCGTTATACATATGGTAGGAAATGAAACTTGTGTTCTCCCACTGGTGTATTCCTTCATGTACCTATATGGCACTCTATACATGGAACTATTTGTTCCTGCTTGCAATTACAATGTGAACTAATATTAGGAGTCAATTAAATCAGAAGTATAATAACCTGCATGCATACTGCAGTTGTACAAAAGAATATATAACAAAAGGTATTTAGTAGTTCCTCTAGGTCCGCAATCTTAAGTAGTACACTAAAAGCAGTGGACGAAGCAGATGGGGTTTATAGTCCTCAGCAATCCAATTTACACAATTCAATGTAAAGGCAAAAGACAGAGCGGATTTTTTTGGTAATACACGAAGACCAATAATATCTGGTTGTACACAGTGGCTGTGGAGCAGGAAATAAGATTTGTGGGGAAATTCTGTACACATGCAGTGCATAGAATGGCCACAGGCTTATGATATTGATATTATTATTATTATTATTATTATTATTATTATTATTATTATTATCATACAGGATGTATATAGCGCCAACACTTTATAATATAAGGAAGACATTACAGTTCCAATACAAAATCAAGACAAGATGGTAAGGAGGCCCCTGCCCATGAGAGCTTACAATCTAAAGGATATATTACAAAGAAAACTTTCAGTTGCAGATGGAAATGAAAAGGAACTTTAATACTGTAATAGTTTTCATTGTTAACCTTTAATTACAATGTATATGGTGTATCAATATTATGAAAGTTACAATATTTAAAGTAACAATATTTGATATCAAAGAACAACTCCTGGAATGTTTTTATTAACCCTTGCAGTATGGCTATCCCGGCACTGCAAGGGTTAAGTGCTAGTTTGTGTCTAGGTGCTAAAATGACAAATAAGATATACTCATGCGAAGCTCCGAGCCGGCCAGCTGTCACGGCTCTCCCTCCAGCCTGTCTCCCCCACAGTAGCAACATTGTAATCTTCCTCATCGTCATCACGTCTATACACTGTGTACAGACAGGATGAATTCCGGACCTTAGACCGCTGCAGAGGATGGGGAGAGACGCTGGAAGGACTGGTCTAAGAACAAACTGGCTCGGAGCTTTGGGTGAGTGTGTGTGTATATATATATATGTGTGTGTGTGTGTGTATATATATATATATATAATATATTTTTGAACCTAGACACAAACAAGCACTTAACTGTTGCAGTGCGGGGTTTGCCCAACTGCAAGGGTTAATCAAAACATTTCCTGGAGTTCTTCATTAAAGTGGATCTAAACCCAGCCATTATCTCATATAAGCTTCAAATTGTTAATGTCATTTCAGCGGTTGGTTTCAATCTTTTCAACACTGTCGCTTTCTTTAAAATAATACCTTGTGATTCCGCCAGGAAGGTCCTTGTTCAGGCTTTTCCTCTTATAGGGAGACATTGGGCTCCTGCATTGCCTTCCTGTTAGACACGGTCCCTTCGGTGGAGATTACAAGCAGCGGTACCAACGCTCATTTGCAGGCATAGCCCACCATTGTCGCCCTCAGTGAGTGCATGTAGACAGGAAGTGACTGAAGTAAGCTGGAGGTGATCGGCAGCACTAAGATGCAAAAAAGGGTGAAAAAAGTTAAAAACATTATTTTATGTAAAAAAAAAAAAATGTTTATGCTGTGCAGCGCTTTTGCAAACTCAATGTCATCCCGTTTGGGTTTTCCTTTATTCTAAGTATAGTTTTCCCTTTAAAATACTCTTCTAAACACACATGGGGATCTTGTATTTATTGTGTAAAGTTGTAGAATTGGCAGACAGACATAACAAAGCTCTCATGTTTCTCTAAGTATCAGCTAGTGAAGCAGATGAGCAGAGGGAGATTGGCGGGGGGTGTAATGAATGGGGTGTAATAAGAGTAGTGGTGGCACAGGAGGAGGAAGCGGCGCTACATCGGAGCGGACCAGCTGCACCCTAATGACAGCACAAACATTGTCTCTGGGGGTGTTGCAGGAGGCCGGGGTCATTGCCTCCAAATTGTTTTTACACTTCATTTGCTACCTGAGAGTATTTCTTGAAAAAAAAACAATGACCTTTGTCTGATTTTACATTGTGAATGTTAAATCATAATACGTAGGCGTACAATGTGCATAGACAATGCCTGCTGACTAAAAATGGCTTACTGTGCACAACAACAATAATATCTTTACCATGAGATGAAAGGAGCAAGTAAGTATCGATCAAGGGGCCCCAACAAACCTTCCTAGTCTTTGTCCCAATAATTTATTTTATTAATTCCCTTTCTTTTATAAGCCATACATTATCTTTGACTTCATATAAAATGATTAATTTGTATTTTATTATAATCTAAAAACATCTTTATTTTCAATCTTTTTAAATTGAAAATAAAGATGTTTTTAGATTTGAATGAAATAAAAAGCTGTAGTGTACATCAAAGTTTGTGTATATTTTGAAAATTGATTTTGAGATAAATATTTCACATAAATCTCCTGTAATTTCTTTCTTTCTTTTTATAACTCTTTTCATGTCCTTTTTATTTTTTTTTCTCTTCCTTACCCTTTTTTTTTGTTTAATTTAATTCTTTCTTTTTCTCATCTGTTTATTTTTCTTTTACTTTTCTATGTAATTTTTGTATTCTTTTATTTTATTTCTCTTTCATTATATTTTGTTATCTTTAGTGCATTCTGTTTTTTACATTTTTGTTTCCTTTTTCTATTTTCCCATGTTGGCAGAGTTGGAGCTAGGGTAATGCAGCTGGGACAGTTTCCCAGGGCAGAGAAAATAGGAGAAGCCAAAAAAAAATGTTAAGAAATAGTAATTAGAAAAGCCTATATCTGTCGGAATACAGTAAACTCCCCCTTATCCGGCATCCACGGGGATTGGTAGATTCCAGATAAATGTAGTTTCTGGTAGCTTGAGAGTTACCAATAAAAATAGGTCTAACTACTGCCATACCCCATACTATACCATAACATAAACTCTGTATTGACTTCATATTAATATTGAAATGCAAG